ACCAGTGACCAGCTTCCACGCAACAGCCGCCGGGCCCCGCATGGCCAAGAGCTGCGGCACGAGCTCCGGCTGCGCGTCCTCAGCAGCAGGCTGAGGGGCACCATTGGGTTGCCAGTCGCCCCCAACATCGGACAGGGTCTCTCCATCCGGACTCGCTTGCTTCTTCTAGAAGCTGTCGTCCAGCCGCGTGCCCAGATGCCCCCGCGCGCCGCTGCTGGCTGGCTGCGCAAAGCTCGCCTGCAGCATGTCGCCGAACGGCTTCTTTAGGATGTCATCCACGTGGATTTTTGCTTGGCTCAGGCCCCGGCGAAACGCGCCGACTTCGCGCGCAAAGAAGAGGTCAGCATCAGCGTCCTCGACGATCGTGGCGCGCACCCGCCCAGAGTTGACGCAGTGGGTGATGGACCTCTTCGGGTTCGAGCAGCCAATGATGTCCGGAAAGAGTCTTTCCGGACATCATTGGCTGCTCGAACCCGAAGCTTAAGGAGGCGACCGTGAAAGACTCAGGCTGAGGAGTAGCGCGAGCAGGCGCGGCCGCAGACGCGCCTCGGCCCCTCCCCGCAGGCTGAGGAGCGCCGCGGGGGGCCGAAGATGGGGGCGAGTCTCGCGGCGAGGCGAAGGCCATTGCAATGTGGACTGCGCAGGACAGGCACCTTGTGGCGAGGGGCATTGGAATGTTGGAGACACGGTCTGGACCAAAGACGGCTATCAGAGGCAGAGGGGAATTTGGATTGTATTAAGAGCGCGGGAGGCTTCGAACGCCTCAGTAATAGCGCTAAGAACACAAGGACGGCAAGCAAAAGGTAGCCCAGGGATGGAGGTCTGGGAACTCGATGAACACGAAGTTTCCTACAGTTGGCTCTGGGCATTCAAAATGTATCCCGGGAATGGAGTTCAGGGAACTATGTGGCCCGGGAAAGGAGTTCTGGGGACTCGACGAACACGAAGTGGCCTACAGTTGGATCTGGGCATTAAACATGTGGCCCTACGACGACTACTACTACTACTACTACTACTACTACCACTACTACTACTACTACGACTACTACTACTACTACTACTACTACCACTACGACTACTACTACTACTACTACTATTACTACTACTATTACTACTACTACTACTACTACTAGTACTACTACTACTACTACTACTACTACTACTACTACTACTACTACTACTATTACTACTACTACTTCTAATACTACTACTACTACTACTACTACTACTACTACTACTACGACTACTACTAGTACTACTACCTCTACTACTACCACTACTACTACCATTACTACTACTACGACTACTACTACAACTACTACTACTACTACTACTACTGCTACTACTGCTACTGCTACTAGTACTACTACTACTACTACTACTACTACTACTACTACTACTACTACTACTACTACTACGACTACTACTACGACTACTACTAGTACTAGTACTACTACTACTACTACTACTACTACTACTACTACTACTACTACTACTACTAATACTACTACTACTTCTACTACTACTACTACTACTACTACTACTACTAACATTCCCCAAGGGGGTCGTCGGAGACGCCAAAGGCGTTGAAGTCCGAGGAAGAGAGGAGAGGGAAAGGACGGAGAGGGAGGGCTCGGAGGCCCCTGGAGGGGGGGTGCGCCCATCCGAGGGAACGGTGCCCCCCCCCCTCCCCGTCGTGAAAACGAGGCACCTGCCGTGGCAACGACCCCCCCCCTATCTCCCCCCCGCGACCTGAGTAGACCACCCAAGCCACCGGGGAGCGTCATAGGGGGCGGGGTTCTGACGTCGATGAAAGAAGAAGGAGGAGAGCGGGAGGCCAGGAACAGGCAGACGAAAGCCCTTTTAGGCTTTACCCGGCGCGTGGGCATGCCCTTTTTGGCTGTTGCGGGGGCAAGCCCGCGCGGTCGCCCGCAGGCGACAGGGCGCACTGGCCCTCTTCGTGAGCGCGCAGGCGCGCGGCGCACTTCATGCGCACGATTGCCCGCTGAAGCGCCCCGCGGCACGACGGCGACGGTAAAAGGGGCAAATTCGGTAACGCTGGAGCCCCTAATGCGACGAGGAAGCTACAGATGCATCTTCTGTGCCACTGGAGCTCCACAGGACAAGTCAGCTCAGCCTGCCTCAGCCTCAGCCTGCGTCAGCCTCAGTCTCAGCCTCAGCCTGCGTCAGTCTCAGCCTGCTGCGCTCCCGCATACCCCTTCGGTCTCAGCTTGCCTCAGCCTCAGCCTGCATCAGCCTCAGCCTCAGCCTCAGCCTGCCTCAGCCTCAGCCTGCTGCGCTCCCGCATACTCCTGCCGCCTCAGCCTGCATCAGCCTCAGCCTGCGTCAGCCTCAGCCTCAGCCTCAGCCTCAGTCTGCCTCAGCCTCAGCCGCACCTCCGATGGCGCCGAGGTGGATCCCGCGCGTGCCTGCGCCCGCGGAACTCACCTCCGATGGCGCCGAGGTGGCTCCCGTGCGTACCTGCGCGCACGGAACGCTTCTCCGATGGTGCCGAGGCGGTTCCCGTGCGTACCTGCGCGCACGGAACGCACCTCCGATGGCGCCGAGGTGGCTCCCGTGCGTACCTGCACGCACGGAACGCACGTCCGATGGCGCCGAGGTGGCCCCCGTGCGTGCCTGCACCCACGGAACGCACCTCCGACGGCGCCGAGGTGGCTCTCGTGCGTACCTGCGCGCACGGAATGAGCTCTGCCGGATTCTCCCGGTTTCTGCCGGCTTCCGCCCGGACCCCCCTGGAGTGTCATGATGTTTTTGGCCCTCTTAGAAACCTATCAGCACAAGCTGTTGGGTAAAAAAGCCCACCCAGAAACAGTCACCAGCCAAGTTGTCCTGATCGAGGACGTGCAGCAGCATTTGGATCCGCAGTGATCCGCAACCGCTTCTGCGGATCTTTCGAAGCAGAAGGAGGATGCGGATGAGGACGAGAGAACGGGCAGAAGGTGAACAGGAATGTACGAAAAAGGATGAAGGTGGGCAAGAGGAAGATGACCTGTGCTAGAGCCTGAGGAATCGATCAGGAGGTCGACTACGAAATCGATGGACCCCCAAATTGACACGACAGTCGAATTATCCCAACTCGCCTAGTTCTTTCGTAGATCTACGAACATTATACGTATGATTTTGCAGAGTCGATGAATAGGGGAAGGCCAATGATGATGTCGACCTCTTACTCGACTCAAGTAGAAACAGGAAGGAGGAACTTGAAGGAAGCAGGAGGCAGGAGAGGGCACGAGGAGCCAGGGGGAGGCAGCATGTGCACTTGAGATCACTGGTGCGCCGCGCGCCCAGTGAGGCGAGGGCCCGCAGGATGACTCAGGGCAGGGGCAGGGGGAGGTGGAAGGCAAGAGGAGGCAGGAGGAAATGGGGGGCAGGAGGAGGCAAGAGGAGGCAGCAGAGGGCACGTAGGAGGTAGCAGGCAGGAGGAGGCAGGACAAAATATGGTATAGCTCCCCAGGCGGCGGAAGGCAGGCAGGAGGCAGGAGGAGGTAGGATAATGTAGGATGGCTCCCCAGGCGGTGCGAGCCATCGAAGACGGCTCCCGACGGCGTCAGACGGGCCAGACACGCCCTAAGACGGCCCAGGAAGCCTCGGAGAGGCCCACAAGACGCTCCCAGACGGCAAACAGTCCTTTTTCTCCTCCTCCTCCTCCTCCTCCTCCTCCTCCTCCTCAGCCTCCTCCTCCTCCTCCTCCTCCTCCTCCTCCTCTCTCCTCCTCCCTCCTCCTCCTCCTCCTCCTCCTCCTCCTCCTCCTCCTCCTCCTCCTCCTCCTCCTCCTCCTCCTCCTCTCCTCCTCCTCCTCCTCCTCCTCCTCCTCCTAGCCTCCTCAGCCTCCTCCTCCTCCTCCTCCTCCTCCTCCTCCTCCTCCTCCTCCTCCCTCAGCCTCCTCAGCCTCCTCCGCCTCGCAAGCACCGCCCCGTCTGGCGGACGTGCGAGACCTGCCTCGACGGTGCCCCGTGCCGAGCAGGCATTCTGCACCCTGCCTCGGCGGTGATGTGCCGCCGCTGGGCCGTGCGCCGTGGCTGCGTGGAGCGCGGGCTCCGGCCGGGAGTCAGGGGAGCAAGAAGTTGTGATGATATCCTCCTCCTCCTCCTCTTGCTCCTCCTTCTCCTCCTCCTTTTGCTCCTCCTCCTCCTCCTCCTCCCTCCTCCTCCACCTCCTCCTCCTCCATCCTCCCTCCACCTCTTCCTCCTCCCTCCTCCTCGACCTCCTCCTGCTCCTCCCTTTCCTCCTCCTCCTCCTCCCCCTTCCTCCTCCCTCCTCCTCCTCCTCCTTCTCCCCCTCCTCCCCTCCTCCTCCTCCTCCTCCTCCTCCCCTCCTCCTCATCATCATCATTATCATCATCATCATCATCATCATCATCATCACATCATCATCAGCATCAGCATCAGCATCATCATCATCATCATCATCATCATCATCATCATCATCATCATCATCATCATCATCATGTCACCCCTCCTCCTCTTCTTCCTCCCCCTCCTCCTCCTCCTTCTCCTCCTCCTCCTCCTCGGCCTCCTCCTCCTCCTCCCACCCCTTCTCTCTTCCTCCCCCCCTCCTCCTCCTCCTCCTCCTCCTCCTTCTCCTCCTCCCTCCTCCCTCCCTCTCCCTCCTCCTCCTCCTCCTCCTCCTCCTCCTCCTCCTCCTCCTCCTCCTCCTCCTCTCCTCCCTCCTCTTCCATCTTCCTCCTCCTCCTCCTCCTCCTCCTCCTCCTCCTCCTCCTCCTCCCCTCCTCCTCCCTCCTCCTCCTCCTCCTCCCTCCTCCTCCTCCTCCTCCTCCTCCTCCTCCTCCTCCTCCTTCCTCTCCTCCTCCTCTCCTCCTCCTCTCCTCTCCTCTCCTCTCCTCTCCTCTCCTCTCCTCTCCTCTCCTCTCCTCTTCTCTCTCCTCCTCCTCCTCCTCCTCTCCTCCTCCTCCTCCTCCTCCTTCTACTCCTCTTCCTTTTCCTCGTCCTCCTCCTCCTCCCCGCGGCCCACCCCGCGAGGAGGAGCGCGCCGAGCCCCGGCGAGGAGCGGCCGGAGGCCTTCCTCCCTGGCGGCCCGAGGAGACCTCCCGCGGCGGGCGCGCTCCGCTCCCGGCGGGAAGATCCACGCTGTGAGAGCAGCACGTCGTCGGGGGTTTTGTGAGGCTCGCTCCCAGAATCTCCTGCCTCGCTCTCGACCTCCTGCACCCTAACACTCGGGGAAGGCCGCAGCCGCACAAGCACGTAAGCTTCCAGACGCCCTCTGACGCTCTCTGCGCCGGCCCCGGGCCGCTCCTCGCACGCCTTTGGACGGCTCCTCGCTCCGCCTTTGGACGCTGTGAGAGCAGCACGACGTGAGGCTGCGGCTGTTCCTCTTTTCCCTCCCGTTCCCCTGTCCTCTCCCTCTGGTAGCTCTTAGGGGAACGAACCATGACACAAACACAAAAACTCGGAGGTCCGCGCGGATCTCTCGCGTCGGCGCCGGACCCCCCTGGCGGCGCCTCCGGCGCCGCCCCTGGCGCGCTCCGCGCGCCGGGGAGGGGGCTCTGGCGCGGACCCAAGAAATCCGCGCGGACCTCCCAGAGTTTGCTGTTTATTCACCGGCCTCGCACTTATCCCTACCCCTAAGATCGACACGCCACGAGGCGACGACAATCTTGAGGATATCCGCCCTGGAAAATCTGGGGGATCCCTGAGACTGGCAGCGTGATGAGGAGATGCCCAGCATAGGGATGGGGATATGTTCCAGGCTGGTAATTCATGTGTTTTTTTGTTCCTCTACAGTCGGGGCGTTGACTTAAGGAACCCCAAATAAGGAACGATGCCCCTTTTTACCATAAAGTTGAACTTCGATTTCCCATCGCAAACATAAGGAAAACTCGAGGCAAGCTGTGAAACAATTGAGGAACGCGGAGCCCCTTCCCAACGAAAAAGGCTCCTTCTTCAAGGACCCGACCGTAGTTCCCCCTTAGGTCAAAAGCAAGGTAGGGTCGTTCGCCCCTTAGGTCAGGACCCCCTCCCCTCGAGCACCGTGGGGGGTAGGGGTAGGGTTCACAATGGGGGGTCAGGACCCCCTCCCCTCAAACATCGTGGGGGGTCAGGACCCCCTCTCCTCGACCATCGTGGGGGGTCAGGACCCCCTCCCCTCGAGCATCGTGGGGGGTGGGGGTAGGGCTCACAGTGTGGCCCCCTGCGCCCTGCCTCCCGGGAGCTCCGGGGCCTCGGGGGCCCCGGGGGCGGCGGCCCCGCACGCGGCCGCGCCGCCGGGCGCCGCGGGCGCTCCGCCCCTCGCAGCCGGGGCAGCGAGGCGGGTGCGCGCCTGCTCTCTTCGCCCTCCTCCAGGAACGCTCGGTCATCAGAGCGTGAATTACCTGCCCCGCTTTCGCTTCCAGGCAAAAGCCAGTCATGCCACACGCCTCCTCGTCGAGCGGCCTGACCAGCACATGCCGTTTTCCGGCCTCGCTCGGTGTCCCGTGGAAGCGAGGGTGGTCAGAAGCGAGGTAGGGTTGTTCGCCCCTTAGGTCAGGACCCCCTCCCCCCGAGCATCGTGGGGGGTGGGGGTAGGGCTCACAGTGTGGCCCCCTGCGCCCTGCCTCCCGGGAGCTCCGGGGCCTCGGGGGCCCCGAGGCGGCGGCTCCGCACGCGGCCGCGGCGCGGGCGCTCCGCCCGCGCCGCGCGCCCAGCGAGGCGGGTGCGCGCCTGCTCTTCTGAGGAGGGAAAAAAGCACAGACACAATGAATCGTCGATCCCCCAGAAAATATTGGGAAATATGGGAAGTGGGGGGGAAGACAGAAGCCCAGAAAATATTAGAAAAGATGGGGGAACTTGTGATTTGTGTGTATTTAGTTGTGTGTCCCAGGGCGCCTTCATCTTGATCCTCCTCCAGGAACGCTCGAGAAGAACGTTGTCAGGCAGAGATGTATGTCGTTAAACGTTTTTGTTTGTAGAGGACAGCGGTATTTCTCGAGCTTCTAGTTCTGCCAAGTGCAGACTGTGATTCGGAGGGCTGCAGCACTAGAGCAAGCAGGGATGCGGGCGAGGGAACGCGGAAGCGCGGCGGAAGAGCGCTTGGTCAGGACCCCCGCGGCCGGCGCCGAGGAGCGGCCGAGCAGAACCAGCCTTGAGTCGGGCCTGCCCCTCTCCAGGAGAAGTCCTCAAAGTAGTCGAGCAAAATCGTGTGGGGACGTGTTCTCGACTATTTGGATGATGTTTGATTTCTTCTGGGCTATGTTTGATTCTTCTCCCAAAATTCGCCTGTAGGAGGACATGCCCGACCTAATACCAGCCTGGAGAGATTCCAATCCCTACGCTTGGCGTCGTATTGTCTCGATGCCGATCTTAGCAGGGGTGGGCACGAGGGGGGTGATGATTAGTGGGGGGGTGAGTCCTGTCCGGGGCCATGATGATTCCCCAGATCTCGTGGCGCCTCTTCTCATTTCGATACGTCCCTCGCCCCCCCCCAGGGCCGCGGCAACTGCCGCCGTCCGTGACTTGCGCCCCCCTCCTGGACGCCCTCCTCTTGGACGCCCCCGATCTTGGGGATTCCCTCAGCGTCTGAGGGCGCATCCCTAATTATGTTGTTACAACCTACTTTGCCCTGATCGCAAGAAAGAACTTCGAGCGCCAGAAAAGTGCCCCAAAGCTCCAGGGCTTTCACGTGTCGGGCCCTTGGAGGCACTGCTTCGACACTCCTTCGACACTTTTTTTTCTGGGTGCTCGCAATTATTTCTGGGACGTGGTCCCTACACCCTAGGCGATGCTGAAGAAAACTTAAGTTTTCGGCCAGAGTCTCGATTATTCTGAATGTTTCAATGTAAATCCTATGCTTTTCACAGAAGCTCTGGGCTTTCATCCGAATTATGAGACCATGAATTTCTTGACCCATGATATTTCTTAAAGCATTTCGCAGGGTGGTAAGCACGAGGGGGGCAACAGGTGATGAGCGCGTTTTCCACCACCACCATAAGTTGGATGGGGCGAAGGGGGAGGAGGAGGAGGAGGAGGAGGAGAGAGGAGGAGGAGGAGGAGGAGGACCCCCCCCTCCAACTTATGGTGGTGGTGGTGGAAAACACGCTCAGCAACAGGAGTCCCCTAAGACTGTCCTCGCCTCTGGGCTCCTCACTCCTGGGGGCGTGCGAGGCGTGCGAGAGGCCGCCCCGAGCACGGGGGGCGGCCGCGGGGCCCCGCGGGGCCCGCGTGCAGGCTGGTTGTGCACGCATCAGCGTGCATTAGAGCGGCTGCGTGTGCGCGGCGGGTGTGCTCACCTCTCGGGGGGAGAAAAAACACGCAGAGACACAATGAATCGTCGATTCCCCAGAGAATATGGGGAAATATGGGAAGTGGGGGGGGAGACAGAAATATGCGAAAATATGCGAGAATATGGGGGATATTTTTATTTGTGTGCATTTATCTGTGTGTCCTGGGGCCCCTTCAACCTCCGCATCTTCGGAGAGGCAGGTTTAAAACGACGCGAAGATCGGGACAAAATCGGATCGGGATAGATCGAAATCTCTGAGAGTCGGCGGGCTTGGAGGATGTATTGGGCGCCGCGGCCGCTCCAGAGCGTTCCGGAACGCTCTGAGAGCGCTCCGGAACGCTCTGGAACGATTTATCCCGATCCTAGCCCTGTTTTAAGGGCATGTCCCGTCCTGTGAGCGGCAGGCTTCTCTTGTGCTCCGACGTGGGTTCGGCACGGATCCGACGTGGGTGCGGCACGAACCCGACGCGCTCGACATGGATGCGACATGGGCGGTTGGCGCGATGGGCCAGACAAGGTCCCCCAAAGATGCAACACACTGATAAGAATCGTAATTATAATATAGAACTTACCACGGGTCGTGTTCACTCGGCGGCGCCAGGGATGATTAGAAAAACCAGCGCCGGGCCAGGAATGTATGTATTTGTTTAACCGTTCCCCCCCGCCTTCCTTGGCCGCGCGCCTGAACGGTCGACGGGCCAGACGGAGCCAAAGCGAAGCGGAAGCCGAGAAATGATTGTGATAAACGTTCCCCCACATTCTTTCATCATTCATGGTAGTACACCAAGTTTCCATCCAGGTGTAGTTGCACGCATCAGCGTGCAGTATGCACTCAGGTGTGGTGTGCGTCTCGTGCGCATGCTGCTCGATCCCACTCGACCCCGCGAGTCCGACGTGGGACACGGCCCGGTGCTCGCCTGGCGATTCTGCGCGGCCCGGCGCGGCCGATCCTAGTCGGCGTCGACCCGTCGACGCCGAATCGGCTCGGCCGCCGGTGCGGTCGCCGTCGGATCGGCCTCGAGCGGGTCGCCTGCGGGTCGGTCGCCGTCGCAGCGGCCGCGGGCTCGAGCGCCTGGAGCTGATCGAGCCGCCTGTCGATCCTAGTCGGCGTCGACCCGTCGACGCCGAATCGGCTCGGCCGCCGGTGCGGTCGCCGTCGGAGCGGCCTGGAGCGGGTCGCCGGCGGGTCGGTCGCCGTCGCAGCGGCCGCGGGCTCGAGGCGCGCCCCGGTGGTGCGGCGCTGCACACGGGCCACCCGCGTGGGGCGCGAGGGAGCGCCGGGGGCGCGGTGGCGGGTCTGGGCCGGGGCGCGGGCCGTGCCCAGGCGTCCCCCCCTGGGGCTGCATCGGGCACGTGCCTCTACAGGGGAAATGTTCACAAGAACAGGGAAAGGATCGTCGGGGGACGATGGGTAGAGCAGGCCCAGGCTTCCCCCCCTGGGGGCTGCATCGGGCGCGTGCCTCGGCAGGAGGGAATGTTCACAAGAACAGGGGAAGCATCGTCGGGGGACGCTGGGGGCAGCGGTCCTCCCCCCGCGGTGTCGAGAGCCGCAGGCCGGATGTGGGCACGGCAGGGGCCTGCCGTGCCCTCCCTGGCCCTCCGCGGGCCCCCCCCCCCCCCCCGCTCCGCGCGGCCCGCGCCGCCGCGCCCCGCCCTCCCGGGCACTCGGCGGCGTGCTCCCCAGACCCCCTCGGGTCATGAAAAAATCACGACCGGAGGTTTTTCGCTATTTTCGGCCTCTGGGGGCTCTCACCGGGCCTCGGGACCGTCCAAAAACGACTCGGGATGAAGAACCGGTCCCGGCGAATGGGTCCGGACCTCTGGGGGTCGCGTCATGAAAAAATCATGACGTCGGGGATCTGGGTCTGCTCACGGCGTGGCTTCGTGGTGCTCCAGCCCGTTCTAGCCTTGGCCACCCGACAGAGAATGTCGAGGAAGGGGCCGAAGCCGAAGGGTGTGTCACGTGTCGGGCCATGGGAGGCGATGCTCGTGCGGCACTGGCCCGATAATTGCTTGTCTGGGTGCTCGAGATTCTGTCTGGGATGTGGTCCTTCAGTGCGATGGGGGCAACAGAAATCTGGACCTCTTCCTGGGGGCCAGCTTTGCATCCCGAGCCAAAGTGATTTCCCGAGCCAACGCTCGGACACTCGACGTCGTGCTGTGTTCACAGCGTGGCTTCCCGTCGGGTGGCGGCGTTGTTCAAAGCGTGGCTTCCTGGAGGTCAACAATGGCTCCTCGATGACCAGCCGTGCACCCCGATCCGTTTTCGGACGGTCCCAGGGCCGTATGCTGGATTCCCATCGGCCGAACATCGTCAAACACCTCCCGCCGTAAACGTTTGCAAGACTTCAGGATGCCAGGGCTCGCCTGTTCTCACCGCCCACCAAACCACCCCAACCCAACCCGAAGGCCTTGATTTGCCCTCCATTTCCAGTGGGGGGGGGGTTCGGGGAGCAGTGCAAGAACACGTATGAAGCCCGTCCCCCCCCCCCCCACACACACACCCGAACTTCGGGCGAAAGTCGGGTCTTCGGGTTGGGTTGGGGTGGTTTGGTAGGTAGCCATGTTCAGCTCCAGACCTTCCCTCGGAGCGTCTGCTGCGAACCTCTCGGCCGCAAGCACCGCCGGAAGGGCCCCCCCCCGCGAGCCGCTCCGCGGCTCCGCGGCGCCGCCATGGCGCCCATCGACGAGTCGCTGGACCGGCCGCTGGACGAGTTTATCGAGGAGTCGTCGCTCGGGTTTCGCCCGGTGCGGTCAGGCCCACGGGGGGGATCGTCCTAGGCCTCCGAGCTGGGGTCGCAGCAGATGGGGTCGGTGGGTCGCGCCGCATCGCCGATGCATCGCCGATGCGGCTCGATGTGCAGCCCGATTTGCTCCACGTCGGCGTCGCCGATGCATCGCCGACGTCGACGGTGCGCCGCCGATGCATCACCGATGCATTGGCGATGCGGCGCGATCCGTCGACCCCATCTACTCGGACCCCATCTGGGAGGCCCCCAGGGTCGTTGATCGGGCATCTTCGTGGATTTTCGGTCGGTGGGCTTCCAGCCGCGGGAGGCGCTCCAGCAGCGGCGCCGCGCCGAGAGCGTTTATTCTAGGGGGCGGGGGCCCGAGTTTGCCCGGGAGGGCCGAGCTGTGGCCGAAAGCTGGGGGTCAGCCAGTCCCTTCGGGTCCCCTCTGGCTGACCCGACCCAGCCGACCCATCCCGTCCCTCCCTCGGCCCGGATTTGCTACTTCGTGGCCAGCCTGGGTTCGCGACGTGGCCCTGGCTGCCCAGGGGTCAGCGCTGAGCCAGGTCAGCGCGTCGCCGAGGGGGTCCAGGCCTCCTGAGTGCAGAGCAGAGCAGATGGGCTCAGCAGATCGCATCGCGCCGCCGATGCATCGGCGTTGCGGCGCGATCTAGCCCGATTGTACCTTTCACGACGTCGCCGATGCATCGACGATACCCTGGAAATTTAGACTCCACTTGCGGCCGACGACGGCCCAGTACGATCTGAAATGTCAGGACCAAGTCACAATGCGGACTCCCGTGGTGGGAACGCTCTGGAGCGATTTATCCCGGTCCTAGCCCTGTTTTATTTAGCTTTGACCGCCAGAAAGAATTTCGAGCACCAAGAAGGCACCGAAGCTTGAGGGCTTTCGCGTGTCGGGCCCTGGGAGGCGAGACTCGTGCGACACCGTTTCGATAGTTTGCTGGGTGCTCGAAATTATTCCTGGGATGTGGTCCTGAAGCACGACGGGAGCAGCAGAACCATGAGCCGCAAATCGTGGCTTGGGTGTCCCACCCCGCCCAAGAGCGTTCGGCTCGGTTTCCCTATCGAGGGCCTACCTTGGTATCGCTCGGACGTGTGCACTTTGTCTCGGCGGGGATTATTGAGGAGCATCCTGGATCATCCTGCGAAAAAGACACGCGCGCAACCGAGAAAACACAGGGAATGGACGTCCGAGCGACGAGGAGCTACAGTCCACCCGCACAGGAAGGCCGGGCAGCCGTCCCAGGGGTACCCTTGCATCCTTGCCTCCTCGGCGCATCCTTCGCCACTTTAACCGGCCGCGCCCCGCTCGAAGAGCTTCGAGATGGGCGTCCAGGGCCAATGCATCCGTATCGTCCGTCCGCATATCACACGGGCTGACCGTATCGCCGATGCGTTCGCAACGCATGGCCGATTCCAAGGTACCCATCGGTCGTTGAAAGTAGGTATTTTTGGATTCCCAGATCCCAATCTACTTCAAGCGCCTTCCTACTTCAATAATCGGCATGCTTTTGCAGTGCTTTGTTGTTCTCTGGGTTGGCCTGGACCCAATCCACTTTATCCGCCTTCCTACTTCATGCTTCTACCTACTTCTTCCGACCGACGTGTAATGCCCCCTCCCCCCGAGCCAGTCTCCCCGCCAGTCGCCCCCCCTACCTCGCCCTCCTCGCCCCCCTGGGAGGACGACCCTGCCCCTCAGCGGCCAGCCCGGCCCCCACTCCCTCACTTGAACGAAGGATTGCAAAAAAACCCAAGGATTGCCAAAAAAACCGAAGAATTGCACAAAAAAACCAAGAAGGCGTTTTTTTGCAATCCTTTGCACCTGTTATCGGGGCTCAAGGGAGATGGGGTCGGTGCAAGCGGGGGTCAGTTAGGGCGCCAGATCTAGCAGGATCCTGAGGGCCCCGAGGAATGAGAAAGCAAGCTCGAGAAAACAGAGGAGGCTTCAAGCATCTGCGGGAACCTGGGGGATTACTCCAGATTTCGTAATAAAGGGAGGGGGGTCTCATTTCGGGGGGGGGTCTCTTCCAGGCTATCTTGGAGGGCCTGGGGGGGTCTGGGGACGATGTTTTTGGAGGGGTCTGGGTCTGAAATGGCTTGTCTTGGAGGGTCCAGACCCCCTCCCTTTTATTACGAAATCTGGAGTATGGGGTCAGTGCAAGCGGGGGTCAGTTAGGGCGCCAGATCCAGCAGGATCCTGAGGGCCCCGAGGAATCAGAGAGCAAGCTCGTCTGGAGTATGGGGTCAGTGCAAGCGGGGGTCAGTTAGGGCGCCAGATCCAGCAGGATCCTGAGGGCCCCGAGGAATCAGAGAGCAAGCTCGAGGAATCGGAGGAGGCTTCTAAAAATTGCAAAAAGAATCAGACAAAAAACAGAGGAGGGTGTTTTTTACAATCCTTCGAGAAATCTGAGGAAGGTTTTTGTGCATCTGCGGGAACCTGGGGGATTATCGAGGGGTCCTAGGGCACCCTGAGGAACCCTGCGGAAGTTGGAGGGACTTCAAAAGGACGCTTGGTAAGCTGCAAGGATTCCTGGCGGCTCCTGGAAGCATCTTGACGAGTTCTCGCCAATCGCACGAAAACCGGACCTCCGAGGAACTCTGATGAATTACAGGGAGTTCTAGAAACCCTGAGGGCCCCCGAGGAATCCTGAGGAGCTCTGTGGGATGCAAAGGATTCTGGAGGGACTTGTTGACATGCTGAGGAACCTTAAGAGACCTGGAAGAATCCTCAGGGAATCTGAGATGTACAGGGGGATCTAGAGGCTTCCTGAGGAATCATACGGAATCCTGTCGGATCGTGAAAATCTCCACGGCTATCGAGGACCAATGAGGCCCCCCGAGAAATTTGAGGAAACTTGATGAACGCTCCCGTGGGTTCCTGAGGAGTCCCGCGAGGAAGCTTGCATCTGAACCGTGGGGAATTCAAATCCGTCCTGTGGAATCTTGCGGAATCCGTCGGAATCATCCAGGATCTTGCGGATCCTCGCTGCATCTGGAAGAACCCCAATGAGTCTGGAGGGATCTTGAGGAGCCTTGAGCGATCCAGAGGAATCTCGGGGAACTGAGAGGTGTCTCGAGGAAGCTTGGGAGGTCTAGCGAAACCCGATGGGTCCCAAGGAATCCTGAGTAATTCTTGGGACAGTCAGTCGCAATCCAGAACGCTCATGCGGGTTCCTCGGGGGCCCGATGATACGCGGGCTTGTGGATTTGTTTCAAGAATTATGAGAAATCCCCGTGAGACCCTAGGAATCGTATCCCGGCGAATCCCGCAGGAGTCTTACATGGGCCCATTGGAGTCCTACAGGATTCCTATCGGAGCCCTGTAGGACTGCCATCTGCCAAACAGTTCTCATGTGATCCTCACGTGACTTTGACGAGATGTCTGCACGATCCCCATGTTCCCACAGAAGTTCTGCACGAGTTCTGTAGGACCCCCCCATGAGACTCCAGAGCACTTTTGTGCGACTTCGGGGGGTGCTCTCTACGAGTTCGACAGGAGGAGGATGAGGAGGAGGAGGAGGAGGGGGAGGGGGAGGGGGAGGAGGGGGAGAAGGAGGGGATGTGCGTTGCCAATGCTTTCCTTAAAGGATTTCGTAACAGCTTCGCATCGTATTGCCCCGAATGAGAGGAGGAGGAGGAGGAGGAGGAGGAAGAGGAGGTGGAGGAGGAGGCCGAGGAGGAGGAGGAGAAGGATAAGGAGGAAAAAGAAGACGGAAAATAAGAGTGCATCGAATCAGTATTAAACATTGCATGCATAGTCCGAGTACTGATAACGATAGTCGTAGTAGTAATAGTAGTCGTAGTAGTCGTCGTCGCACTAGTAGCAACAGCCGTAGTAATAGTAGCAGCAGTAGTAGTAGTAGTAGCAGTAGTAGTAGTGGTAGTAGTAGTAGCAGGCGTAGTAGCAGTAGCAGCAGTAGCAGTAGTAGTAGTAGTAGTAGCAGTAGTAGTAGTAGCAGTAGTAGTAGTAGTCGTAGTAGAAGTAGTAGTAGTATTAGTAGTAGTAGTAGTAGTAGTAGCAGTAGCAGTTGTAGCCGTAGTAGTAGCAGAAGTAGTAGTAGTAGTAGTAGTAGTAGTAGTAGTAGTAGTAGTAGTAGTAGTAGTGGTAGTAGTAGTAGTAGTAGTAGTAGTAGTAGTAGTAGTAGTAGTAGTAGTAGTATTAGTAGTGGTA